CACTTCTGGTTGATAGTTAGCCAGAGACCTTTTGTGCCTTTCGTCATGTTCTGCTCTGCTCGAAGACGTGTAATGATGCAATTGGCTGGAGGATTTGAAATTCAAACAGTTAGTGTGAACCACATTTGCGTGAGACAGACATCACCTCCTGAATATGCTAAGCCTGATACAGCCGATTTTGAAAGGTTATAAGCAGGAAGTAGTTTTCAGTTTCTGGGCGGAGTCTGTACTAGGCTCACATCTTTGGGTATATTTCTTCCCTTGTGGCTCCTCGGGTTGTTACCGGGTTTTATTGATGTGCTGTTCTTCAGTGAGAAGTATATGTACTACTTAAGTCAATCGACTGAGAGGTTGTTCATGCAAGAAAGTGTTATTGGCCTTTCTTAGCAGTTGTATGTGCATGTCAATCAAATTTTGTCGAGACACTTGTGCGATAGAGGCTTAAATGAATGTATATATTTGCTTGCCTTTCGATTCCACCCTGATAATTTAGTTACTTCTCTTTTTGTTTTGCATGTTTAAGTTGGGTTTTGTTTTCAGATTAAAACTAGACAGTGCCTCAAAACTGTGTCGTTTCTTTCATCACTACTATCTCAAATCTTATGTGTTTATTGCTTAACTTCACAGTATTCTTGTGCAAGTATGTAGTTTTGAACTGTTGTCTGTGAGAGAAGTATGTCTTCACACTTTAATTATTTATTGTTTTTCATTTTGATTTCAGCAGTGCTTGCATTTTAGTTACAATAATTCCATCACGGCACTTTCATTTGTAGGAGCACAACTTGCTCGCAAATAAAACGTAGGCTCACATATTTGTGTATTATATCTCCGTTGTGATCTCCGGTTTTTTTTTTTCGCTGTATAAATTATTATTTTTAGCAGCGTTAGCGAAAAGTGTGTCGTTCCAATCAATTGACAGACGACTTGGTGCACCTAATTGCAAGTGTGAGTCTGTATTGAGCAGACCCCCTTTTTTTTACTGCAGTGCAAAAATTAGGAGACGAAACAGTCTTTACACGTGGAGCTTTTTTTTCACGTTAAGGTGAAATATTGCCAGAGGTTTTACACTTGGCTTTTATTAACATGTAACGTTGTTTCAACATAGTTTAGTCAAGTAGTTTGGCAATTGCACTTACAAAGATTTATCGCTTACTGGTAAACGCAAAACCATTCAAAACCTAAGCTCTGACAAGCACAAATTTCCACCAGCCAACTTATTGTGGACGGTCATACTTAGTGCGGTAGCGCTGCACATACCGCATAGCTGCGTGCCACACCGACTGTAATGTCGAGCTTAAGGGCACGATGCCTAACTGCGCCAGCCCTAATGCTGTTGTGCTAGACATACAGTACTTCTGCCATGCATTACGGGCGGTAGAGCCGAGCTATTCAGCTACAAGTGTGGTGTTGGAAATCCCACGTGAACTCTAACTACAGATGTAGTTAGGATGTTCCCACAAAAATACGTCTACTAGGATAGTAAACGATCGTTCGGGCGGACCTGAAGACCCCAGTTCTGCCCTTGCACCGGGACAAACTGGACCTTGTAAACTACTTATAAAGGCCAACCAGTAAAATAAGAACACGCTACTAGCACGAGCAAAGCTAGCAGGTGTTTTGAATCCTCGTGGTCCCAACAGCGGAAGGGTACCAGGCACGGGTAAGCCTTTTACGAGATCACCGAGTGTTCAACACTCGGCTGGAAGAAATAAAAGGGAGGCAATTCAAGCACTCCCAGTCGTGCAAATAGGCAACAATAAGCCGTCACGTAAAACCTCCCGATAATAATCGGCCAATACACAAAGTCTCTTGGCCTTGCCGGATGAACCCTCGCTACAGAGCTTCGAGTTCACCGACAGGCATAACACACTCAAACAAGCTTGACCTGACGCTTACCTTGAAGCCGGACGTCGCTCTGTGTGCTTGAGTGGAAATTCTGTTCTGTATTTAAGCTTACCCTTTCGGGTCTATTCCTAATAAGAAGTCCTAATCAAGTATACAAATATCAAGTGAACAATGATCCGTTATGGATCTTCTTGCATGCCAAGCGTCGTCTGCACCGTCGCATGAGCATCTTTAACGGTCCATGCCCTGTCCCAGACGGTGAACGTGCCTTCCAAGGGTCGCTGAGTCTTCCGCGAACTCATCCCAACCGCCACTGAGGGTTCGTACCGTAGATGGTCCGCTGAATGCGAATCCGGCCAGTCCATTATTAATAACAAGAACAGCCTGAATTCAGTGACATATGGTCGTATCCAATGCTCGTTGAAAGCTCGGGAGTGACGCCATCGAGTCCCTGGCACCTTGGCGTCTCCGTACATCACCTGACCGAGGGTTCGTCGCTTGAACATCTTGGGCGGTGTCACGTCTTTGTCGACGGGTGATAATCCGCAACTACGGAGAAATCACTACACCACAACTGCCCCTGTCGCGATGGAAGCCACGGTACTGGTGCCCGTTGTGACATTTCTTCATTCTCCAATTCACCATCTCGCCACCGTATGTCCAAGCGCCTGAATCGAGTCGTGTCCGACGCATTTCAGCGTCTCAATCCCCGTAGACGTCGCGAACGTGAACAGCTGGAGGTACGTCAGCTCATCCTTCTCTTGAATCATCGGTACCTTGCTCATCACCTCGCATTACTCGACTTGTTTCGCAGGAGGGCAAGACCGAGGGTTCGAACGCCCTTCAGTCTGCTGCACTTTCCCCGACAGCAGCGTCATCAACCGGTCCTCCGGCGCCTGCTGCCCCGGACTCTTCACTCCCTGCGATAGCTCCTGCAGCACGCCCCGTCGTCGCTGAACCCGCGGAGATGGCTCCTGCTGTTCCTCCTGCCCCAGCTGGTGGTCCGCCACCCCTCGCCGAAGATTCGCTGCGCGCCATGCTAGCTGAATGTACGGAGGTATCGGTCGATCACATGATGACCTCGATAATCCCGTATTTGACTGCAATGGCTCGTCACCAAGTGCAGCTCAGCGTTGCGCCTCCTCTCCACGGCGATATACACACTCAGCGTCGCCTCGAGACTGCCGTTGGTTTCGATGATG